TTTTTTTTTTTTTTTTTTTTTTTTGTAAATTTGTCGATCTGTTATCAGTGAGGCATTTCACGAACAATGCTATGAGTGAGATCTAGGCAAGGTAGGATAAAGGTTCGATTTTTCAGCACAAGAATAAATTCCGTTTCCGAGAATATGACAACCTTCGTCGTAACCCTAATATGCCTAGAAAACGAGATGCTAACGTTAGAAAAATGACATGCTACTATCAGAAATTTTCAGATATTTGTTATGTGAAAAACACGAAGTGCAAATATCGGAACTTTTCAGATAAAACGAAATGTTATTATCAGAAATTTTTGGATATTTGTTGCGTGAAAACGAAATGCAAATATCAGAAATTTTCAGATAAAACGAAATGCTAATGCGAGGATCAGGGTCTTCGGTAGGCCTAAGGGGCCCTGTTTGCAGCATTGCCCACCCTAAGTGAAGGCGGAGGTGCCCGCCCTAAGTGAAGGTGGGCCTAACATATCGCAAGAGGCCCTGGACTGTCAATTTCATATTTGGGGTCCAGGCAGTTGCGACGCGCCAGTTGGTTGAAAGAAACTCAGGTCGGGCAACAAAGACATATCTAGTTGTTACAGACTTGACTAACAACTGACAGACAGCTGCAGACAGATTAGATCTTTGTTGTATTGCAATCTGATCTAGGGTAATCTAAAAATAGATCTGATATTTCCTGTAGGACCTGACATTAGTTGTAACCACATCATCTAACTGTTTTGTTCAGGCCGACCGAAAACAATAGTGTATCATATGCGGTTGTGTATCATGCTAAGGTAGGATTCAGTGTGGATTCTAGTTTAGATCATACACACTGTAGCTCATGAGTGAAGACAGCAGTGAGGAGGAAGGAAGGCTAGTGCAATCCCTTAGGATCACACGGAGAACAGCTCTTAGTCAACCAATCACTTTCCAGGAGTAGCGTAGAAGCTACAGTTCTACTAAGCCGCTGCACTTGGTCCCCTAAGCGCAGTCTATCCACACAAGCACGACTGATGAAGTTTCGTGTAGAGCCTATGTATGCGAAGGCGCCAACCTTGCGGCCACCTCGAAGACGGGGCCGTACCTCCTCGCGGATGTATTTACCGCATGAGCAAGGAGGAACTCGAAGTGCTTCGAACGCACCTCAATGACCTCATTGACAAGGGCTGGATTCGCCCTAGCTGCTCGCCCTACGGTGCCCCCGTTCTCTTCGTCCGGAAGAAGAACAAGGAGCTACGCTTATGCATTGACTATCGCAAGCTTAATGCTCAAACCATTAAGAATGTCGGCCCGCTTCCACGCATCGACGATCTTCTCGAACGTTTGGGCGGCGCCAAGTATTTCTCCAAGTTGGACCTCAAGGTCGGGTACCACCAGCTCGAGATCCATCCAAGAGATAGGTACAAAACCGCGTTCAAGACATGGTACGGGCACTTCGAGTGGGTCGTAATGCCATTCGGCCTCATGAATGCCCCGTCCACCTTCCAAGCGGCAATGACAACGAAGTTTCGCGATATGTTGGACCGGTTCGTGCTCATCTACCTCGATGACATCCTGGTGTATAGCCGAACTTTGGACGAGCACATCGTGCATCTACGTGCCGTTTTGGACAGGCTGCGTACGGCCAAGTACAAGGCCAACCGAGCCAAGTGTGAATTCGCACAGCAAGAGCTCGAGTACTTGGGCCACTTTGTGACGCCGCAAGGCATCAGTCCACTTGCGGACAACATCAAGGCCATCCAAGATTGGCCGGAACCGACCAACACCACGGAGGTTTGCTCTTTTATGGGATTGGTCGAGTACTACCAACGCTTCATCGGAGGATACGCATGGATCGCCGCACCGTTGTCAAGATTGCAGTCTCCACAGATGCCCTTCCACTTCACCGATGAAGTCCGCAGTTCGTTCCACAAATTGAAGACGGCATTGCTCCTCGCTCCTGTCTTGAGTATCTATGATCCCACCTTGTCTTGGAACAACACGACGGAGTAGATTGGCATCCGGTTGAGTACTTCAGCCAAAAGGTGCCTCCCATCAACTCGGTTGATGATGCGCGAAAGAAGGAGTTTCTCGCATTCGTCACGGTACTCAAGCGTTGGCGACACTTCCTCCTCGGGCGTCGTAGGTTCACTTGGGTGACGGATAATAACCCATTGACCTACTACAAGACGCAAGACACAGTGAGCAGCACGGTTGCCCGATGGATGTACTTCATCGATCAGTTCGACTTCACACCGAAACATACCTCGGGCCTCTCCAACCGAGCCGCGGATGCTCTCTCGCGAAGATCAGATCTTTGCGCAGTGACTCACCACGCATTCAGTTTCGACGAAGCCCTTCATCAGCATTTTGTGAGAGCATACAAGTCCGATCCGGAATACGCCACGCTCTACGAGCAACTATCCTTGGATCACCCGCCGGCCAGCCACTATCGCGTCGTCGATGGCTACTTGCTTCTTCACTCACGCGGCAAGGACTTACTATGCGTCCCACATGACCACCGCCTACAGACTCACCTCCTCGGAGAGTACCACGACTCGAGACTCGCTGGCCACCTCGCCATCAGCCGTACGATCGCAAGACTTCGGCAACGATTCCGGTGGCCCGACCTCATTACCGAGGTCACTCGGTATTGCGACTCTTGCGAAGTTTGCCGACGAAGCAAACCCCGCAATCGCAACCCCTACGGTGAGTTACGCCCGTTGCCTATTCCACGGGAACCCGGCCTCTCCATTGCCACGGACGTCACTGGCCTGTTCCCCCGGGACCGCTTCGGGCACGACGGCATTCTCACGGTCGTTGACCGTTTGAGCAAGTACGCACGATTTCTTCCTTGCAAGTACTACGCCACGGCTCCGGAACTTGCACGCCGGCTGGATTTGCGGCCACGGCGTTCCGGAAGACATCGTCAGCGACCGCGACACCCGTTTCATGTCGGCATTTTGGACCTCTCTCATGAAAGAGTCCGGCACCAAGATGAAACCAAGTTCGGCTCGGCATCCGCAAACGGACGGGCAGACAGAGCGGGCACATCAAACCGCTCAAGTAATGCTTCGCACGCTCATCCGTACGGATCAGAAGGATTGGGTGGACCGCCTCCCCGACATCGAATTCGCCTACAACACTTCGGTGCACCCAGCGATCGGCGTGACTCCGTTCGAGTTACACCACGGTGGCCGGAAAGGCCACATCTTCGCTGATCTTCCTTTTCCAAGGAATGCCGACATTGACGCCGCTTGTTCGCCCGCCTCCGTTCGGAAGTATAGAGACTTGTTGGCTAAAGCCCGCGCCAACATGCAAAAGGCTCAAGTCCGCATGCAACAGCAAGCTAACAGGCGTCGCAAGCCATGCCCCATCCTCGCCGACGACCTTGTTTGGGTCTCCACGGAAGAGTTTGCACTCGAGCAGGATGTACCCCGCAAGCTACTTCCAAAGTGGTTTGGACCATGGCCCGTCACATCAGCCGCGGGTGATGAGCCCGATGGCCCCTCATTTGTGATCGAAATCCCGCCGCATCTCACGGTGCACCCTGTTTTCCACGCCTCCAAGCTGGCCACATATACACCAGCCAAGAGCGACGACTTCTCGGGACAACGATCACAGGACCCTCCTTCCATGGATGGTCATTAGGAAGTCGACCGCGTCATCACGCATCGCAAGTACGGCAACAAGCCCATGCAGTACAAAGTCACATTCAAGTGGTGCGACCCCGATGACACGCGATGGATTTCCCGGGCAGCTTTGCGAGCCTCTGCTCCTGACATCTATGCTCATTATAAGAAGAAACGGCGAGCGACGGAAGCTGCACAGCCTCCCACCCGGACTTCAGTCCCTCCCTCCACCAGACAGCTTCGCCCTCGCAGGTAAGCTCGGTCTTTCAAGGAGGGGGGAGTGTGGCATACTCCGTACCACACGGGCCGAGCAGAGCCCGACCTGGTAGACTAAGGGTCCATAGGAGTGGAGACTGTTTTCGTTTCAGCCTAAAAGCCTGAAACTGTGTCGTTTCGGCCTCCAGCCTGAAAACGACGGGCCATTTTTCGGGTCCTCGCAAGATCGACCTACCGTGAAACTCAAGCACCGGACCGGGGTTTTAGCTCAGGCCATTATGGCCTATTTTGTGGAACGTCAACCCCAGGGTCTGGCACGTTTTGGCATAGGCACGAGCAGCCTCCCAGACGGGCCAGCACTATATAAGGCTGACCCGCCCTGTAGGCTGCAGGCAGCAGTTCCCAGGCACTTCACGTGCAGAGGGCAGGAGGTAGTCTTCAGGACTCGGCAGCGGCACTCTGGAGTAGTAGTAGCGGTAGTAGTAGTCTTCAGCGCTGGGCGCTAGTAGAGAGAGAGAGGAATGGTTGGCGGAGGCCAGGGAGACTTACCTGCGGCGCCATAGCTCCAGCTTCGTCTTCCTTGCACCTGCAGCAAAGCGCCACCTTTACCCGTTAGTATCGGACAAAGAGAGAGAGAGAGAGAGAGAGAGAGAGAGAGATTGAGTTCTTCTTCTTCCTCCTCTAAGTCCACCATCTCTTCCTCACCCTCTCGCCCCCTGACTTCTCAGTATCTACCGGCTACGAGAGAGAGAGAGAGAGAGAGAGAGAGAGAGAGAGAGAGAGAGAGAGAGAGAGAGAGAGAGAGAGAGATGGGCGACATTGGGATTTGACGACATTTGTGTTCAGACTCAACATCAGGATTCAGACCTTTGGCGAGGGATTACTTGGGACTGTATCGAAGACTTGGTGT